TATATATAAGAAGGGTGACTGTTGCGATCCAGCAAATTACAGACCAATAAGCATTCTGCCAGTTATAGGCATGCAAAATATTTCTCGATTAAATTGACTTTATGGATGTATGAACACAATGTTATGGGCTGCAAACAGGCAGGTTTTCGTACTGGGTTTTCAATAATTAATCATTGTTATGCTCTTTGGTTTTTGGTGGAAAAGTATTCACATTTTTCTAAGGGTTATTTGGCAGTTGCATTTATACATTAAAAGTCTGCTTTCGATACTATTTCTCTTGCACATCTATGGAGGAAATTACAGTGGACTTCTATTGATTCTCAGCTTTTAGTTTTGATTCTGGTTCTCATACCTCAATCTGGTGCGGAGGTAAGGGAGAGCTTACAGTGAAAATCCCATTGAGACGAGGAGTAAAACAGAGCTATGTTCTTGCTCCTCAGTTACTTAATTTATATATACATGATCTGAAGAAACACCTTTTAGATGCAAGTCATCACTCTCCCTCTTTAAGTAATCAAAGTATCCCTGTTTTGTTGTATGTGGACAATACAGATCTATTATTGAGGTCAGTTACTGGTCTCAGGAAGAAGTTGAAGGCTTATTCTAAATGCTGTGTCAGGAGGAGAAACTTCCTATCAATTTTGATAAAACAAAATTTTGGATATTTCAGTCTGTTCACCATTTTTAGCATTGGAAATTAGATGGAAGACCAACAGAACAGGTCTCTCAGTATCGTTATCTGGGGGTCCAATTTCATGCTCGTAATGCTTGGCACTCTCATATCTCACATTCTATTAGATCGGCAGTGGTCATCTCACAATTCTACATGAATGGCCACTGCGGCCCAGGCAGCAAAAATAGAAGCACAGTTGAGCACAACTGCTATATGATGTTGTGACGACCACTTATTTGGATTGAAGGGATTGTGGGGATAACAGATAAATTTGATAGGCTGTTGTTACATTTTTTGTGCACAATTACTAATGCCCCCACATGTATTGCTGGAATTGTCCTATACACACAGCTGGGCCAAAACTCCTTGGAGGCATGGATTAGAGCTTTAAAGTATTGTGTCAGGACCTTTAACTCTGAAATGGGTTATGGGTTGTTGCCACTTATTCGTAAAGATTCTTTTACATCATCATGGGAAAAACTTATGGATTCTAAGTCATCTACTTTGAATTTGTCAATGGATGTGATTGCCAGTTCACCTACCAATGGGTTTTATAAAATAATCAAGGACCATATTTTAAAACGGGACTATAATAGTACAGTTTGAGAGGCAGTTTGGTGTAGTGGTTAAGTGCGTGGACTCTAATCTGGTTTGATTCCCCACTCCTCCACTTGCACCTGCTGGATGACCTTGGGCAAGCCGTAGTTCTGATAGGAGCTGTCCTTGAAAAAGAGCCGTTTCTGTCAGAGTTCTCTCAGCCCCACCTACCTCACAGGGTGTGGGGAGGGGAAAGGAAAGGAGTTTGTAAGCCACTCTGGGACTCCCTTGGGTAGTGAAGGGCGGAGTATAAATCCAATCTCTTCTTCTTCTACATGTGTTTGCATCTGACGAGTTTGCTCTCCTATTGCGCTACCACTACCTTTTCAACATAAAATACCAAAACATGTATACACATTGAAGGTCCCCAAGTTACGACGAGCCTTTATGATGGCCCGAAAGCATGCTTGACCATCAGCTGGACGATAGTCAAGAATTTCCTATTCTGACAGAATTGGCTCATGCTCTGCAGGAAGAATTGAGACTATAGCACATACTGTATTTGACTGCCCGTCGAGAGCTGAAGCTAGGAAGAAGTTTCTTTTGCCTTTATTTTCTCTAATCCCAGAGTCTAGTATGACTATTGAATCAAAGATTAGTTGGCTTCTTTCAGATTCTGATTTCAATGTTACCTTCTGTACGGCAAAGATTTTTTGATCCTCTATACTGATTGTACCATTGCTGTGTTGTAGCCCATGTGGCTTTTAACAGCATAATTAAAGTAAAGTGAGACCTCCATCTGAGAACCTGGAGAACCACTGCCACTCTAAGCAGACAATACTTAGATGAACCAATGGTCTAATTCAGCATAAGGCAGCTTCATGTGTCTAATTCATTGATGAAGAAAAGGCACTCTGCATCTGATCTAGTGGTACTAGCCATATGTTCTAATTACCTGCGTGTCATAAGAGCAGTTGGGTACCTTGTGTCAGCTAGTTGTGGGGGTCCTCTGACGGCCAAAAACAAGCTTTTTACAACTGGATTTTGACTGGGCTGGGGAGGGGGGAGGAGAAGGTCCAGAATAATTTCTGAACTCATAACAGAAATCACAGGAGCTGGGCAGGATTGCCAGACACATTCTCATTTAATCAACAGCTTCAACCACTCTACCATTTCATCTGCCACGTGTCTGGCAGAAGGGACAGAGCTGAGTCCTGAGGCCTCCACAATACGCATCTAGCTCAATATTGTGTATACACTAGCGAAAATAGCTGAGCACAATGGAAAGTTATACCTTTATACCAGGGGTGAAGAAAGCAGATTAGGGATATATTTCTCTCTCACAATGCCAGAACTTTTTAAATTTACTTCATTTATACCCCACCTTTCTCCCCAGTGGAGACCCAAAGCAGCTTACATTGTTCTCCACTCCACTGGAGAAAATTAAGCGGAGGGTGTGTGTCTGGCCCAAGGCTACCCAGCAAACTTCCAGAACAGAGTGGGGATTTGAACCTGGGTCTTCCTAGTTTGACATTCTTATTCTATTATGGATAGTTGATTCAGGATACCAAATCCAATATATAGTGAAGTTATAGAACCCATTTACACTGTAAGGAGAGTACCACTAGTTTAGATGGCTTGAAAAGGAAAAGGAACAAACCCATGGAGAAAGACTGGTTTACCAGTCACAATTAGCTGTGACGGCCAAATTAAAATGCTATTTTAACTATTGTGGCTAATGGCCATAGGTAGAACAAACCTCCTCCATAAATTCATATTGAGACAGTTTCCTTCTCAGTGCCAGGGATGAGAGGGAAGTGGCACCAGTGGACTGTCAGCGCCTTCACGTCCTGCTTGGGAACCTGTTTCACCACAGGTGGAAACAGGATACTGAATTACACAGCTTGCTCCTTATGTGCCTGCGACCCAAGATATAACTCAAATATAACTGCCTTCACATAGGCAGCATACCTCTGGGTAATATTATCTTGGGGAAACAGGTGGGGAAGGCTACTGCCCTCATGGTAACCTATGGGCCTCACTCCCCAAATCTACTGAAGATCTCTAGTTAGTCTTTACCGCGCCACGACTCCTCTGTAGCTTGACTGCAACAAACTAACAAGGCCACCCCTCTGAAGTTATGCACTTGCTAGCGAGAAAAGTCGGGAATGGAGCCTCCATGTACAGAGGCAGCATACTTCTGAATAACAGACCCTTTGGGCAACAGGGGCGGAGGACTGCAACCTTCATACCATGGTTCGCGGGCTCCGCAGGGGCGTCTGCTCAACTACCACTCGGAAAAGGCCGTTGGATAGACAGGCCCTTGGCCTAATCCAGGCGGGCTCCACTTCTGTCACCGAGTCACGTCCACATCCCCCAAACCCTCCCTTACCAACGCAAGCTCATACCCGCCGTCCAGGCAACGCAGCCGGCTTACTCCGCAGTCCAAAAAAGAGGAGCGAGGCCTCGTCCGCCCCCATAAGATCCGTTACAGAACACCGTTTCCCTCCGCCTCCGGTTGCCCTGGGAACGACCAGTTCCGCCACCGCCGTTCCGCATTCTTTGACCAATAGGCGTCAAAAGAGAAGCGCCAATCAGAAAGAGGGCTGAGCGGGGCTTTCTTTTTCTGTCCAATGAGTTGTGGAAGGACAGAGCCAAATCAAACAGGCCGGGTTTGGGTTCTTTCCCTGTTGATCGACCTCGCGGTGATACCCTGTCGGCTGGGAGATGATGGGGGGCGGGGGGCGCTAGAGAATCTGCAAATTGCAATAATTGCTGGCAGCAGGAGCCAGGCTTTGTCCGTTTCAAGATAGCACTACGCGATGTGTTAAACTCTCGTTCACACATGGTAGAATGCCAGTTCAGACTGCAAGTGATGGATTCCAGCTTTAAATTTTCTTCACGTAAAAACAATCCAGCGAACTGGAAAGCTAGCGAAGTAGGGAGCAACGACCTGCTCCTCTCTTTGACTTCCAGTGCCGTTTTCCTGTTTGCAGGGTGAATGAATAATTTATTGCGGTTCACGACCAGGTGCATATTTGTAGGGCGGTTTCCAGGGGAGCATCCAGAAATGTGATATGCAGTTTGCTAAAGTTATTCTGCTTTCTCAGATCTCCTGTGCGCAGCCTCAACCCCATATACAGAAAGCCAGTTCCCGTCTCATGGTGAAAGATAAGGCAGGGGGGAAACATCTTGGTGTTATCACATAACTGCTGCAAATTAAAAGATAATTTTAACTAGGGGAGAGACGGGTAAAAGGGAAGCTCTTCCACTCCACTCGCATATGGCTAAGTGTATATATAATCCCCAGCATATATATATGTTCTTTTCAAAAGTAAAATTTCTTTTAAATGCACCACTGTCAACTTTTACAGGTGCCCAGTTCCAGTAATAAATGTAAGAAAATGCTGGAACAACCAGAAGAGCTGGAAGGGGGCGGGGAGAAGAGAACGTCTTGCAGGTAGCAATGAGTTCAGCAGTATCACTCACCTTTGGAAAAAAATCACTTTTATTCTGTGGAAGTGTGGGCTTGCTTACCTGGGAGTAAGCCCCATGCACCTCACCTGGACTTAATTCAAAGTAGACATGCTTAGGATTGGCTTAAGCATTTATTATTGACAAGGTTGTCCCACTAATTACTTGATGAAACTGAAAACTGCCATTTATTTCAGCCTCTTAAGCTTTATCGTGTGTATCTTCCTATAGATAACCTGTTGAGTAGCCACACAGAGCACAGCCAGGTGGACACAGGACACCTCTCTTCTTGTAGACAAAGTCTATTTTTATTATAGGAATGCTTAGCATGGTCTTTGGGATTGCTCTTGCCTGTAGCAGCTGTTCTCTCCATACTGTGGCTACAAAAACATCTCCAGTGTCTGCTCCCAGATGGTTTTTAGTTTAATGGTTTGAAAAAATAATGATTCCATTTAGGAAGAAGAGCAGGCACCTTGTGAGGTAGGTGGGGCTGAGAGAGCTCTGAGAGAACTGTGACTGGCCTAACAGGCTTCATGTGGAGGAGTGAGGAATCAAACCCGATTCTCCAGATTAGAGGCTGCTGCTCTTACCCATTACACCATACTGGCTCTCTAGGAGGGCTGTCTCTCGGTGGGAGTATAACACATGCTTTCATGACCAAGGTTCAGTCCCTGCCATTTCCAGCTAGAGTCTTAAGAAAGAACCACAAACAACTGTGGAGAGTGCGTCAAACACTAGAACTGTCCCCTTTGAAATCTGGCCCTAACATTGCACTCTAATTTTGTGATTGTTAGCAAATGTGTGCCAAAGCATTGCATGGAGATGAAAAAGTACATCTGGAGAAAAATCAAATGCCATGATTCCGGGAGGCAAAGATGTTATGTGAAGAAATTGTCTCATGATGTAGGACCAAACACACTACCTAAATCTATAAAGTGCAAAGGTTGACTTTCTGAGTAGAGAGTACATGGCCTGGATCCCATGCAATAATACTTTCAAACCACACAAACCTCAAAATATACTTCTACTTCCCATTCTCCTGGGGAAAAAGAATGAAAGTTCTTGGCTCCTAGACCTAAGGCACATTCAGCAATCCCTGGAAAACCACCCAGCAGCTCAAAGTAATACCAAACTTTCATCTAAAGGAAGGAAGTTTCCCCAATCTAAAGGGGCCCTCAGAATGGGAATGCATTGATGAGTGCTAACCCAACATCTTTCAATCAATTCATTTAAACTGTTTAATAGTCTACGGCTGTGGTCACACAGAGCATTAGCCACACTACAGAGACGGAAGATAGGCGGATTTTCCGGGTGCGATCACAGTGCCACATCTGGGAAGCGTAGAGCTCCCGTGGCTCACCCGAGGTTTCCCGCCGAAGATGCGGGGTAAAAAACTAGTACCTCTAAGGTACTAGTTTCCGGAAACCGCGGGGCAAGGGCGGGTGCCTGATCGCGTTTCCAGTGGAAGGTTGTGGCATCCTGCGCCCGCCCATGTCCCGTTGCTAAAAGTTTTTTTAAAAGTCTCCATTAGATGCGCACAAGCACCCAACGGCGCATGCGCACACTTTGTTTAAAAACAAACAACACAGCCCCCTCCTCTTTTCCGTACCCCCCCCCCACTCCTGGCTCGGCCTGCTCCAGAGGAACTCTCTGCACCGGGCAGCAGAGGGTGAGATGCAGGGGGGGCGTGGCGGGAGTGCGGCCCGGCTGAAGCTCCTCCTCGAGGGGACCTGACGGAGGACACAATTTGCATTCCTCTGCAACCCTGGAAGGGGTTAAACCCGCGGAGCCTTTTGCTAGGGAGGTCGCTTCTTTGCCACGCCGCAGGATTGTCCTGTGATTGGCACCTCCCCCCTAACCACGGGACCTCGACAGGACCTCAACGGGACATCTGATCGCACAGCCGCACGTTATTTTGCTCCGGGGCAAACAGTCCCCCCCCCCCCCCCCCGCATTTTCCTGCCCATGTGACCCGGGCCTGAGTGGACAAAAGACCTCAATGAACAGGAGCGTTGTACGGTGTCGCAGTCATCAGAGGGCAAGCCTTGTGTTCAAGAAGACAGTTGTAATGGTGGGGGTGTCAAAAGCAGTGCAGGCAATTTTGAGACATGGAGCTGCTACTGGTGCTCTTTCAGAAGTGAAAAGTAAGAGTAGGTCCTTTTGAAATGACCCATGGCAGTTGCAAATAACCCACCTTTTACTTCTTTTTGTATTTGGCAGTTGTGCCATCGATGCTATCATAGCAACTTTTGAGGGAGAAAAAGGTGGAGGAGAATCCACTTGAAGCTTACCCCGTGGGATTTTTTTATTCCCCTCCCCCAGCAAATACTCATGTTCCTATCATAAAGGTAAAGGTAAAGGTTCCCTCGCTCGAAAGCCAGTCGAATCCGACTCTAGGGTTGCGGTGCTCATCTCCGTTTCAAAGCCGAAGAGCCAGCGCTGTCCGAAGACGTTTCCGTGGTCATGTGGCCGGCGTGACTAAACACCAAGGTGCACGGAACGCTGTTACCTTCCCACCGAAGTGGTCCCTATTTATCTACTTGCAATTTCTTGCTTTCGAACTGCTAGGTTGGCAGGAGCTGGAACCAGAGACGGGAGCTCACCCTGTCTTGCGGCACCCGGGTCTTGAACTGCTGACCTTCCACAGCCTGCAGTTCAGCGTCTTAACCACTTGAGCCACCGCAGCTCCGTTCCTATCATAAACTGCTTTTAAAAAAATCCCTTCAGTTTCAAAATAATGGGAAAAGTACAAGTGCAGGGATACACAGTGGAAGACACAACTATCTGCAGAATTTTCTAAAGCCTGCTCAGGGGTTGTAAAGGAAGAAGCCAATGTCGACAAAAATGAAATTGAAGACTTATTTCCAAGCAAATGTATTTGGGACAGAAGTGTAAAATTGTGAACTGAAACTGAGAAGGACCAGATCTAAGGCTGAGCACACTCTGTATAGAGTTTTTAATGCAGCAAGAAATACTGCATTTTACCCACCCCCGAAACAAGGATATTTGCTTAATTTCTCCTAACTGGGGGAGTGATGAGGGGCAAGGAGATATGTAGGGCTCCAAATCCCCAATTCGGGGCATGCTTTTTTTTAGCCACCTCTCTGAATCTGAGACCTCACTAAGCCCTATGCAAATGTGCTTTGAAGTATATTTTCACAGTCATAAGGGCGAGAACCATACTTTTGTTTGAATAAGAAGCAAAGATGCTTATAAAACTGAAATGTCTTTTTTTCTGCAGCCCTTTGAATGAAGGCCTATACCCAACCACACACATACATATACAACTGTATGAATTTCTTGGGACTGCTCTGGAGCGCCTTTAAAACCCTGCCATTTCACAAGCTCATGGAAAAGCCTGAGCATGAATGCATGGTATGTGGCCATGAACTTAGTAAATATAAAATCATCATAAGTCTGTTAAGAGTCTGCTTAAAAAACCCAGCAGTTTAACAAACCTAGGCTGACTTTGCTATTCAAACATGTGTTTTCTTTCAAAATGATATTAACACACTTGCTCTGTATTCTTTCCAGATCTTGAGATCTATAGCTCAGTATTTTTAAAATGTACAGAACCTGCAAGAAATAATATTGATTTTTTTTTAAAAAAAGCAATGACAGATGGTACCTTAAAAATACCCAGAATAACAAACTCTCCGGTCCAGCACTGTGATTATTGTAAGGATTCCTTCTGAAATTTAGTTTTCTTTCCACAAAAATGTAGATACTGAAGTTGAAGTAATTAGAAACACTACAAATGAAAATAACCACCAAGTTTCTGTAGTAAAAAAAACAAAAGGATCAATGTTCTTTGGAATTACTGAGTTATCAAAAAAATTTGGATTCTTCTATAGTCCATGGACATCCTGTACAAAATCAGTTTCTTCATGTAGATTTCAAGTCTTTGAACATTTTCATGTCAACAGTCCAAAAAGTACAGAGGGTCTCTCTGACCAGCAGGAAGCTACATTGACCAGGAAATATTGGCATTTTGTTTCATGTGCATGATGGCTGCCAAAATAATAATTAAAAAAAATGGTTTGAGAGATGGATATGCCCCCATTTTACGGGGATCATGAACCATAACATTTCCAGTGCAAAATCTTCCGCATGTGATCGGCAAGCAGAAGGAGCAGGGATAGATGGAGGAAGGAAAGGGGAGGGGGTTGTGAGGGAAAGAGAATGAGACTCCAGCAGTCTTGGCTACAAACATACCAAACAGGTAACTCTGTGTTGCCCACCCAAGCTTTCATTACTATTAAAAGAAGATTCCACAGCTCTGAGGCAGTGGAGTCACTTTCACAGATCTTCATCTTAGGAGAGAAAAGGCTCTTGTTCAGTATGAAAACAGGGGCATGGCTGGACGTTCAGCAGGTCAACTGACTGGTTCAGGATGCCCGTCTCCCCCTCTGGCACTGGATGGAATGGATTAGAGGCAAAATCCACGAGATTTTTCCACGTGTCATGAAATGTGAGCAATCTGTCGGACTCGGGTCTGTATTTCCTGTCGACACAAGGGGCAGGTCTCTAGTTGCAAGGCACATTCCATGCACAGATCACTAAGGAAAAGCAATGAGAAAGATGATTAAGACAACTCTAGTCAATGTATTCATATAAATCATTCTGATTTATACAGAATTCTTCCTCAGGAACTTCAGAAAGATAACTTCTGGTTAATAAAAGATATCACCCTAGATTACAAGAATTCTTAAAATCTTGTACTAGCTAAAAGTTCAGACATTTTTTCTTTTTCTCTTTTCTCTAAAAAAGAGTAGTAAATTTGATGGGAACATTGATCTGGGAGCCCACAGCTAGTGTCTAATGCCCGTTTGATACTGAACACCTCAGAATAAGCAAAAATAATCGTTAGAGTCTTATAACTGAAGTCTCATCTATATATATATATATACAACAGATAAGGTAGAAATGAGATGACAGAATGGACTGTACCACTTCAGACTGCAAGTGGGGAATTTGTTAAAAAATTCTAGCATACCATACCTTCAACACATAACTTCCCCTCCCCAGACACAACTAGTATAGCCAGGAAAGGACTGAGGGTGATTATTAATAAGACAATTCTGAGGGGTTCACTGTAGGGGCTCATGGAGCTGGCTCGCTCATGTGACTTGCTTTTAGATGAGGTTTGCACAGGGCCCCCAGAAAGAATCTTTTTGGGGGGCTCATGGTGGCCCTTGACAACCTGGGCAATGTTTAGCCTCCCCCATCACTCCAGAAATCTCCCATCTCATCTTGGTGCATACATAGTTTTCACAGCCCTTTAAAGGAAACTGCATCATACTTTTATTTCATTTATACCTGGCCTTTCTCCCCAGTGAGGACTCAAAGTAGCTTACATCGTTCTCCACTTATCCTCACAACAGCCCTGTGAGGTATGTTAGGCTGAGTGTGTGTGACTGGCCCAAGGTCACCCTTGAGCTTCCGTGGCAGATTGGGGATTTGATCATGGGAGGGCTATAAAACCAACAGAACAGCTAACCTGTGCCCACACGGCCTGAGTTCTGTGTCTGCTATTTCATCGCAGCAAAGAGTGCAGCAGTTTTCTTGGATGCTAACTTGCTTTAACAAGGCCAGGCGTCTGTGTCTGAAAATGAGAAAACATCATCCCACGTTAATGCAATATTTTCAGGATCATATCAAACTTCTGCAAATGGAATCACCAGCTTCTTGTGGAACACGTTTCAGCTTTATGAATTTCTAATAACTACCTGTAGTCATGGGCCATGAAGGACCTTAATTACAGATCACTGCTGTATGAAGGTCCTGCAAGTCTGCTGTGCAAGGGCACTATGGGATACCTGGCACAAATTCGGCACCAGGAAGATCTAAAAGTTCTCATTTAAGAGACTGAACACTGTCAGGGCAGAAAATTGCCTGCCCTCATGGCCAGGCGGAGAAATCTGGAGAGGAAAGAGCCTCCGTATCTCCTCCAGTTGCTTCTGGTTGTGGGGTTTCCTTGCCAAACAGCCAATGTATCAGATGTTATTTGAAAAACCTGAAACGTGGAAGCTGGAAAATTATGGCAAATTAAATGTGTGCACAGGTGATTTGCCTGATTAAAACTACAGAATCTGCACAAAATTTTGCATCAAAACCACCTCCTGGAACTGTAGGTAGCCTTCCATTTCCTATACCCCCCTGCCTTGTATCACCTCCCAAAAATAATTCCAAAAACAGTCCAGAGGGTAATTGGTTAGCCTTGTGTGACAAGGTGCTTTGGGTGACCCTGCAGGCTTTGACAGTTTCGAACCTCCAAAGACGTCACAGCATCTGCTGTAGTGATCACACTAAAAAAGCACCAAACTCTACAAGCCTTGAGCTTTGCTCTTCAGTTTTATGCGCCAACTGGTTGAAAACATTACCTTGGTAAAATTATTTTCTCTTCTGCTGTCAGGAAGGCATAATCGTTAAAGGTGCTAAATTTAACAGGCGGTGGATACTTGAAAGGTTTTGCGCCGAAGTTGAACTCGCACTGTTGGTAAGACATGAAACTAGCTGCAGCAAAGAAGCCAGACCTGCAATGTAAGCAGATGAGAACGTTAGAGAACAACAGTGTGAATGGAAGCACAACTCTCACCCTCACAATGAGCAGTCAGCCAGTATGCTAGAGCATGGCAGCCAAGTTCCTGTGACTTGCAGCTCTCTAGTGGATAGGCCAATTCTAGCAGCTGTGGTTTGCCTCTGTCTTACAGAAAGGTCTGGATAGTTCAAATTAATGTGTCAATGTCAGATTCCCACCAGCCTTTGGCTTCTCTGGCTCCTTGAACCCTGAGCCTGAAACCTCCTCATCTTTGTTCTTGCCCACCTTCTTGAAGTGTGATCCTTTTTTTTTTTTTTTGGCTCCAGTCCTTTCCCTCAGGTCCAAGTTTCCCCAGAAATGTAATCCAAATGGTAGTTTTTCATACTCCTGACACAGCAGTGATGTGGGTAAGAACAAAGCATGGGCAGTCATGACCCAATGCACCCTGCACACCTGACTGGCATAGAATGTAGATATGGGGGTGGACATGCATCCAGTGTTCTAAATAAGGTTGTCTAGATGGGTCCCAAGGAGGAAAGACAACAGTTCAATCTGCCATATGCCAACATAAGATTTTTTCAGGGATTGTGACCTGGCAAGAGTGAGGGAAGGAACAGCCAGCAGTAGGAACTGGGCCAGCAGACTGGGAAAGGCTATTGTAAAGGAAACAGAACCAAGGCAAGGCATAATGGCTCTTAAAGCATCACATATACACAGCTCTTGCACAAGATTCTTGTGGCTGATATAGCAGGACAGTTAATAACATCTTTGCAAAAATGGAAAGCGAGATGGTTGAATGGGCTTCTTACCACCAACATGAAATGTTATTATCTACTGCAAAATTTTTACTGCCCTCAAGGGGAGCATGTACTTACACAGCAGAAGAAAAGACTTGCTTCTCAAAAAAAGCTGGTTTCCATTTAAATAAAAAATCATTTTCTTATCTTGTAGATCTAGCAAAAATCCTATTGTGTCACCTTTAGCCAAGCACAAGACAAAAAAACAAAACAGTTTCAAAACTGATTGCCCCCCCCCCCCCCCCCCCCCCTGTTTGCAATAAGAACTGCCCGAAGACCAGTCTGGCTGTTAAAGCAATAACTGGAATCCAAACTGGATGGGCCCTCAGTGCTCACCTGTTCCAACCCACTGTGGTGTCAGGACTCAATTGACTGGGCTGTGTCCATATTGCATTCCAACCCACTCCCTTTTGGGGTGTGAAGCAGACTGCAACAGATTGCTGACATGACTTGGCAACAATCCATGCCACTGGGCAATCACAGACCTATCCTTTCTCCCCCTCTATCATTGCTTTCTTTAACCTTGCTCATCAAAGCCATTACGCCAAGCCTAGGAACATGCAAGTTGCTGCAGAGGGAACGCTGGCTCTCTGCAATGACTGCACACTGGAAGCCAGACTTGACAATACATGCTCTCTCGCCAGCATGAACTCCTCCCTCCCTTCCCTTGTTGGCCTTAAGCCATGGTTTGGAATTTCATCTGCTCTGATGCTAATTTATGGCTGGCACTGAATGGGAAGATGGAATAGTAAATCAAGTGTAACAATGGGAAAAGAAGGATTTGCACAGGGGAAGAGGGAGTGACCAGCACTCCCAAAGCTGGCTCCTGACTTACAGCCGTAGCTATCAGGGAGCCAGCATTATACCTGTCCCCAGGCCATGTTCAGCACTTGAATCAAGTCAGTGTATTTAAGAAGCTACAGTTATGCTCAGGAACAGGAAACTTTGCGTTTCTTCTTAGCTATGCGCTGACGTGCTGTTATGGTTAGAGTGAGAGACCCAGATTTGAATCTCCACTCTGCCATGGAAGCTTGCTGGATGACCTGGGCCATTTATGCCCTCTCTCAGCCTAACCTACCTCACAGGACAAGATCAACTGAAGGAGAGAATGATGCGAGCCATTTTGGGTCCCCATTGGGGAAACAGGCAGGACATAGATGAAGCAAGTGCATAAATAAAAGTAGGTAAACATTCTGCAAACATAGCTGTACTTCTGAGCCCTGTGGCAGAGAGGCCAGAAGTGCTCCTAAGATACTGCTTCTCTGCAGCTGTCAACAGAGGTGGGTACAAATGCAGGACCAGCACGTGCAACGTGCATGACTGAATGTGCCACTTCAGCAGCA